TTTCTCCCCAAGAACTCGCGGAGAGCACTCTTTGGTGGCAGGGTCCGAGCTGGTTGAAGGAGCAGCCTTCTGAGTGGCCTCAGAGATGGACAGATCCACTGGAAACCGAACTGGAACTAAAAGGAGTAAGAACTCACGCAGCACGAGTTTTAGATAAAGAGGATATCTTGGAACCGTTCTCCGATTTTTCTCGCACACTGAGGGTGGTTGCAAGAATTTTTCAATTCTATTGGAAAATATATCCGGTGCACAAACTAACAAATCGAAACGATTCTACGGAACTTACAGCAAAGACAATTCGAGAGATAAAAACTCGACTTATCTTGTTGACCCAAAGGCGTTGTTATCCAGAAGAATACGGTGAACTATCTTCTCCGTACTCTCAATCGATTTCTGGACAAGAATGGAGTGATGAGAGTAGGCGGAAGACTAGCGCTAGCGTCATTGTCATATAATGAAAGATATCCAACCATTTTGCCGTATAATTGCCAATTTTCGCGACTTCTCGTAAAGTTCTCACACTTGATTTCATTACATGGAGGAAATCAACTCATGCTGAGACTTATGAGGTCAGAATATTGGATAGTACGCTTAAAAAATTTAATGAAAACCGAAATTAATAAGTGCAAAGTTTGTATAATTTACAGAAAAAGAACACGGGAACAACTCATGGCTGCGCTACCACCGGAAAGGACGGACGTATCCAGACCATTCACTAACACTGGCGTGGATTTTACGGGCCCGTTTGAGATTAAAAATTACAATGGCCGAGCATGTCTCATCACTAAAGGATACGTTTGCGTCTTTGTATGCTTTGCTACAAAGGCAATACACCTAGAGGCAACTAGCGATCTAACGACATCAACTTTCTTGGGTGCTTTTGCCAGGTTTGTGGCAAGACGAGGCTGTCCGCGTAATGTGTACTCGGACAATGGCACGAACTCTGTCGGAGCAAACAAAGCCTTAAGACATGACTTTAAAAAATTCACAACCGAAGCCTCACATCTAACCATGCAATCATATCTTCATCAAGAAGTCAACTGGCACTTCATACCACCAGGAGCTCCTCACATGGGAGGACTATGGGAAGCAGGAGTGAAGAGCTTCAAAACCCATTTTCGAAAATTAGCAAATGCGATGCGATTTACGATGGAGGAATTCTCGACTTTACTGGCCAAAATAGAAGCATGTCTTAACTCACGTCCGATAAGTCCCATTTCAGATAATCCTGAATCGCTTGAGCCTCTAACCCCGGGACATTTTTTAATTGGAAGTCCGCTGCTCGCGATCGCTGAACCAGAACTCAGCGGAAACCCGATGTCAATAATCAACCGTTGGCAAAAGCTAAAGGCGCTTCATCAAGGGTTCTGTCAACGATGGAAGGTGGAGTACCTAAAGGAACTGCACAAGCGAGTCAAGTGGCAGTTCCCACACCGAAATCTAGAGGTTGACGACTTCGTAGTTGTCAAAGAGGACAACCTACCCCCAAATGAGTGGCGACTTGGCAGAGTTGTTAGGGTTTTCTAAGGTCAAGATAGTCGAGTTAGAGTTGTAGATATACGTACGACACGAGGCATAATTACACGTCCAATTGTGAAATTGATTATGCTTCCCGTCGAAAAGTGCACTAATGAATTATCGAATTTCAGAGAAATTCAAAATGGTCCGAGCCAACAACAACAACCAAGTGGGGGAACACAGGTGTCCTGTGTGCAACCACAACCACCTGTTGGTCTTCTGTAGACAACGGCGCCGACTAGTACCGACGGAGAGACTGAGGGCAGTCCTCCTTCATCGGCATTGTGCCAACTGCCTGTCACCGCGTCACATGGCCAGCAGTTGTCCATCGACGAGACACTGCGATCGGTGTCAAGAGCGGCATCACAGTCTCCTACACCTGTGGGAAACCGACAGGGGCGAGGAAGACGTGCCGCGGGCCTTAAGCGCGGTAGACAGTAGGCCTACCAGAAGACACGACCCTTACAGAGCCCAACCTCTGTTGGACGACTCCAGTGCCGAGGAGGTGCTGGAAATTAATGCCAGTGACGAAGACATTCCCGCAGAACCAAACCAAAATTCAACCCCCCCGATACTCAGACTACCTCTGTCGAGTATCCGGTCAGTGGTCCAGCGGCCACCCCCACCGAAAGAAGGAAGAAGTGCCTCGCCAAGAAGGCGCAACAACAAGCCACAGAAGCGCCCTCAGGCAGTGAGAGACGCCCGAGAGCGGATTAAGGGACCCGCTCGAAACGATACGGGTATGTCTGTCCTCACGCCAACGGTGATGGTGAGAGCGGTAGCAAGCGGCCGAGTGCATGCTGTTCTTACCATAATCGACCCAGGGCAACCAAAATCCATCGTAGCACGCACCCTGGCGAGACGAATGAACCTGCTGTGACGGGAGTCAACAGAGCAGACCAATCTGACGCTGAAAGGTTGGCGTGATATGATCAGCCTACAAGCTAGAGTAGTGGCTAGCCTAATAAAGACCACGCCTGCACGCACACTGGACTCAAGAGTCGTCGACAATTTGCGGTTGGCAGACCCAACATTTTACAAGTCAAGCGCGGTTTCGCTGATTTTAGGTGCTGACGTATATGGCATGATTCTCCGGTCAGGGCTTATGCCAGCAACCCCAACACGACCAGCTGCCCAGAACACAATTTTTGGATGGGTGATCTCCGGTTGCTCACCCTATTAGACGGCGGCGAGGGAGTCAAGGAGAAAGAAATGAAATTGAGAAAAATAAATAAATAAATAAATAAATAAGAATGAATTGTTAATTATTATATTGTATACGAGATATTTGAATCACGTTTTAAATTTAACTATTAAAAATTGTGAAATCTATATATTGAAATTTGTAATGTAGTCATTTTTTGCAGTGTTGCTGCAAGGCGGACAGCATGTTTACGCGTGCAACCCTGAGCAGCAGCCATAGCCTCTACCTGGAGATGTCGCTGCTGTCTTCTGTCTTCTGTTCTCGACTAAGTGACATATATGGGAAATATATGGGAAAAGTCCAGTTAGTCCAGTTAGTCCCGTTTAGGATCTCCACCTTTTGTGGAAACCTTTAAAAGGCCAATGTTGCCGGCCTGAAGCCCTTCTTTGATCCAGCAGCCACAGCAGCGACATCTCAGGTGAGGGTATCGATATATGTTAGGTATCGATATATGTTATGTAGGTTTTATGTATATATATACCTTTTACATATATATATCTTTTTAAATAAACCTTTTTAAATAAACCTTTTTAATATCTTATTTAATAAATCAATGTTTTATTGAGAGCTTGGCGACAGGCAATTAGATAGGTTTGCAGCTTTCTGAAGGACCGACACCTCCCCCGATCCCCGTTGCCGGAAATCAAGAGGAATTCCGGCCCCTAAATAGCCCCGATACGAAACAAGGTTCTTCGCTAAATTTGAACACTTATTTACTTCGTCTTGTTACAGAAAGAAGTTATCTTCGAAATCGAGTTTTATTTGGAGAACGCACACCGTGGTAGATATAGGGTTATTCATGTTTTTGTTTCATGAGTAGAATTTTGACATCTATCAAACCAAACATATTTTGTTTTAGTCAAAAGTCAGGCATGTAAAATTTTAAGCGACTGCAGATATTGTAAGATCTAGGACGTATTTTGTACCTACACGTAGACTAACACCTCCAAATGAAACCACCTGACTATTCACGATGCCGTACTTGAAAACATTCAGTTTTCAACTAGGTACATTTTTCACTTTGGAAATAAGTAAATAAATAAATTGTAAAATTTGGGGCTTCGAGAGTATTTAAATAATTGGCGCGCATTCGGGCCGGAGGAGTGATTGGACCTTATATATTCGAAAATGATAACGGCGAACTTTCAATGCTGATTCGGAGTTTCATGGTAGTGTAATTTCTCTCATCTTTGGGATATCAATAGGCCACCGATATTGTTCGGTTTGACACCGTTGGACTCTTTCTGTTTCGGTTAAACCTTTTGTGCACATGAAAACCAACATTCATCAAGTTATAGCTGATATACCACCAAAAAGTGGTCGAAAATTACTTTGTGTTTGGTAATATAAATTTTTATGTGTTTACTTACGTGCCCATATCTGGGGTATCTGTATTTACATATCGTTGTTTAATGCGTTCATGTTAAGAATGTCGGTATTTCATTATTTTTTCTATTATCTACAAAAATTTAATGGCTGTTATATGTATATATTTGTATAAAACATTTGTGTTTCAGTAATGTTGTTCTTCTGAATTCTTAGACAATAGCCACTAGAGGCGACCGCAATTAGAATAATTAGTTTTCTATAATTTTGAAATCCTTAAAGTCGGGCAAACCCTAAAAAAAATTATACTACCAAATGTTTTTATTGGTAAAATATATGCAAATCAAACATATTTATATTATGAATATTATTAGAAAAACCACAGTAAATATACAAAGTATTAAATTTATTAAGCAAAAACTGAGCTAGAATCACCTTTTGATCTCATATCGATAATCGGGCAAAACTTATAAAAGGTAAATTAAAAAAAGATCAATATTAGTATTTCGTTGCACCTTCTTTTTATGTTCTATTTTTGCCGTGATTCTGCCATATTCTTGTAAAGCATTCATCAGCTGGTTTTTCGCTGTGTGCAGTCGGTCCTGCATACTGCGACCTAATTTGTTACAAAAATGCTCAATTGCACTAAAGTGAAGAGGCTATTTTTGGGAACTTGATGATCTTTTTAGCGGCATTTTTACCGACGACGTCATTGGTAATTTTTTGCTTCGAAACTTCATATTTACCGTTACCGTTAATACCGATTAGTCCGTTAAACTTTTTTGTGGACAGATGTTATGGATAAGTGCATTTAATTAAACTTAAACTTACTGAAAATAATTTTAAAACTCACATTTCTCGACGATCGCACTGAATGCTCAATACCCTACACTGAATAAATAATAATTGTTATCTGTTTTATTAGGTATGCATTCAATTTGTATTTTTTTAGACATCTACTACAGCTCTGCAAACAACTACTGCGTTAGTTAAAATGGCGTTTATTCTGTTCAAGCAACATCGATTACATGAATTACTTTATAAAGCTGAATATCATGAGCTACTGCAAGGAATACAGATTTTTATGACAGGTTAAATCTTATAAGTATTTTTTATACATACGAAACTTTTATTTGCTTCATGTTGTATACGTGTATATTCGCAGATATGCCAATCAGAATCAGTCTAAAGAACGAAGCTATAAGAATTATGGACACTACGTGGCAAGAAGCAAGGGGGCAACTCCTATTCAGCTTAATATCGTGTATATGCATTCAAGCCAACTACTTCTTTTACGCATTTTTCAAAAATTTATATCATCATTTGCAAGGGACACCCAACTATGTGTACATTTTGCGTATGTATTGTAATAATAATAAGAAAACCAGATTTCTCTTTGTACTAAAAGATGACATTAATTGACTATTCAACTCTCCACGTATCTAGCTTTCACCGGTTATCCTATGTTTCATCACAAGGGAATGAGTTCTTTCTATTACATAATGGATATGTTTTTTGGCGCATGCTCACTCCACTGCGCGGCAATGTGTGAGTTATCAAATAATTCATTTATTTATATACAATCAAGTATTCAATTTTTGTATGGATTAAATGCATGGATAGAAATGCAATATAATTTATTTTTGTATGAACATATTTAAGTGTCCTGCACTGAGTGAAATAAACTTTTTTTGTTGTTTTTTTTTTTGACAACGAACCCAGCGATACCCACCTCTCGCCCATCCGACCGAGGGCCGAGTCTGAGGGAAATCGAAAAGTCAAACAGACCGGTGACCGAAAACCAGTAATACTCCGAACTGCCCTGAACCCGAAACCGATCGCGAAAGGTCGCGGTTACACTTGCCTCTTACACTAAACAGTAAAAATTTGTTCATCAGCTGCCATAAAATTGCATGGGGAAAAGAAGAGGGAATTTATTTAATTATTTAAAGCAATCAGTAAGTAGATTTTGATACAGAAAAGCGAGTCAGAGGCATTATTGTTGGGGAAATGTGTATTAAAATCGTTACACAAACTTATTAGAACACTTCGCTCTCAAACAAATTTTTCGTTAACAAATTTTACAATATAATTAAATATTTATATCGATGAGTTCGGTTGATGCTGCAAATAGTATTGTTGCTATAAATTAATTAATTCAATAGACCCATTGTGGTATCCCTGAGAGGTTTCTGTGCCCTTCCCGAATGAGAGTACCTTTTAGTAAGTCTTATAAAGTTTTCATGCTGACAGAGCTGAGGTTTACTTTTAAAAAAATGGTTTTCAAAGTACTGAAGAAACTTTGTGACTAGAAGTGGACCGTTATATAGGGAATGTTCGATAGACTCTTCGCTTCGCTGTCCAGTTATGTTTCTCTAGCTTGATGTCGCTGCCAGTTCTAGTTATGAGTTCCTTCAATAATCCTTTAATCCTTTCACTGTCTTCTTAGTTTGCTGTAATGAATAATTTTTTTTTTACAACTCTCGTTTCATCCTCACCCGGTTTAATTGTTCCATTCTCTATGGTGAATCCTAAGAACTGTATCTTACATCTTATTTTCAGTTCCAACTTCAATAACCTTCTAAACTTTGTCACCGCTTCTTCTTCAGTATTCAAAGGGATAACTAAATCTTCCATATAGGCAACCACTGTACCAACTCTGATATAATCTGCTGAGATCGCATGAATGTAACGACAAAACATAGCGGATGACTTACATAAGCCAAAAATTCTCGTCCACTGGTACTTGAACGAATCCGTTGGTCAGGTCCAAAGTCGAGAAGTTATCTCGTATAATTTTCAAGTTGAGTCTGCGATAATTGCAGCAAAGCCCTTTTGAGCCACCTTTCTTTGATACGAGCACTCCAGGTGAAGTGTAATTCAAGCAAATTATGCATATTATCCCTTCATCTAACCACTGCTCGATTTGCTTGCCTATTATTTGCTGCCCCTCATGGTATATTCTACGTGGCGGTTAGTAAAAAGGAACTTCGCCAGCAAAAATAATTTTCATGTGCAATGGTGCGTTATAGACACTTTTTGGTTTATATAGTTCAATCATCTGTTATAACCGTTTGCTGATCTTTCAATAAGGTCGGTTAATTCATAGTCCGTTTTTTCATAATCGATGTTAAAACATGAATTTGGAAAATTATTCGACATTCATTAAGTCAGGCTGCCAAGTCACTTGAACGATATCATTCAGTAAAGTTTCTTCCGCTGTATACCATCATATACGGGTTGTTGTGTTGTTAATATGGCTGCAGTCAATTAATACATCTGTTTCAAGTTTTCCATTGTTATCATTTTAGATGAACATATCTCATTTGTTACAAGCAAATTCTTATCTTCTTAAGTTTTAAATTAGAACTCAAAGCCTACTCCGAACGGCTGATGGTTTTTTATGAATAGTAATTTAGTAAGTTTCAGTGATCATATGTAAAACGTATTTCATTAGATTTTCAAAATAACATTAAAGTTTATTTGTGTTTAAGAACATTAACCACACATCTTTCAAATATGTATGTAGTAAAACATTGTATTTGACATTTTACACAAATATATGTATATACTTGAATATTTAATGTAACAACAGTTGTCTTACGACTAACTGATGAACGCCGTTTCTTTCGTCTCGTCTCTCCTGTTCGTTCGTCGTCGTAGAGTTGCCGTCCTGTTTTGTCCTATTATTATTCATCCGCTCCCACATTCGTTATTCGCCCGTTTCCACATTCGGCAATCCTGATAGGTTATTCGACCCGAATGACGTACTCCAGGGTTTCATAAATTCTGTCACAGTCGTTGTTTTATCATGTCCTTCATGATTACCCACTTTCTCTACTTCGTACCGCCCGTGGTTTAACTTAGTGATCACTTTTTAAGGGCCGATATATTTAGCTTTGAGCTTTAGACTGGCCGCCAACTGTGTTCGTTTGATTGCTACTAATCATTTACTTTGTACTCACTGTCAGATTTCCTTGTCTTGTTAAATTGCTTACGATTTTCATTTCGAATTTTTCTGGTATTTTCTTGTACCGATTTTCTTATACAACTTCTTTCCGAATTAAAATTGTCAATCTCTAAGTCATTTAAAGTTTCTCTTAAATCTTGGTATTTTATTATTTCTAAACCGGTGCTGCACCTGCCGCTATAAGTAAATGCTGTATATTCTCACATTCGCAATATTCCCGAAAAAAAGTTTGAGGTAAAGGCACTGCCCCTGTCAGACACATTACGTTTGGGATTCCCAAAAGTCGCTGCTTGTTTTGCAATTTTTCAACGACTTCTTCTACCCCCGTAGACTTAGTTGGATATAACCAAACAAATTTGGAAAATCCGTCTACTACAAAAAAACTATAGTTGTATTTTTCCCTCGTTTCTATCAAATGACCTACATGATCGATATGCAACGTTCCTAACGGTTTATCTGCTTTGTCAATTGGCGTTAACAAACCCTCCTTTTCCCAGTTTTGGCATCCGTTATCATGAATTCTCCACAACCTTTCACTACTGTGGTAACCTTTTCAGTCAAGTTTGGAATATAGTTAAACTTTTGTACTGTTTTCCGTACAGCAAAGTGACCTTGTTTGTGAGCTATTTTTATTATTTCTTCCCACGTGACGGAAGGTACTACTAGAAGTTCATTAACAGTATCTTTAAACAACAAATCATATCTAATATAAAAGTCTATGTAGTTATTTTTTCTAGTAGTTTTTTACAACTTTTATCCAATCGTCTTGTCCCTGAGATTCCTTTAACCTAAACTTAAATGAGTCTTCGATCAGAAGGCAATAGGCGCAGCTCAAAGCATCGACGTGCTTCAACCGTTTACCTGCTCTATATTCAATGCTATTGTTATACAATTGCAAGTACATTGCCCTCAGTTTCATCCTAAGCGGGAATCACTGTGCCGTCCATATATGCTTAGTATATTACCATATATCTTGTTTTAGTTAATCCTGAAAAACTTATCTTAAATATCGACAAAGCACTGCTGGCGAGAAATTCCAAATGGAACAAAACAAAATTCGTATTATTCGTTTTGAGGCACCAAATATTTCCTAGAACCGGCTTCAATGAGAACATGAAAGAATCCGTTTTCTAAGAGTTGTATATAATTTTACTCCTACCGATCTATATAACACCTCATCTATCCGATTCATTGGGAAATGGTTTTTAAAATTTTTTTAATTTTTTCTATAGTCCCTTGGATCCGTCTTTCTTTGAAGTAACCACTATTGGTGAGGCACATTCTGAATTGCTATTACTTTTCTTTTCAACTGACTACACAGCCCAAAAAAGAACCTGTTGGCAAGAGTGATTCTGCGTTGGATTTCAAGGCTGACATTATTGTTGGTGTTGATACTGGTTCCTAGGTAGACGAAATTATCCACGACTTCAAAATTGTGACTGTCAACAGTGACATGGGAGCCAAGTCGCGAATGCGATGACTGAGATATTTCGTGTTGTCCTCGTTCACTACCAGGCCCATTCGCTTCGCTTCTTTATCAAGCCTGGAGAAAGCAGAACTAACGGCACGGTTGCTGAGGCCGATAATGCCACTATTATCGGTGTACGCCAGTAGCTGTACACTCTTTTAGAAGATTGTACCTTCTCTATTCAGCTCTGCGGCTCTTATTCTTATTCTCTCAAGCATGAAATTGAAGAAATCACATGACAAGGAGTCGCCCTGTCCGAAACCTCATTTGGTATCGAACGGCTCAGAGAGGTCCTATCCAATTCTGACTGCGCTTCTGGTGTTGTCTAGCAAAAGCTTACACAGCCGTATAAGTTTTGCGGGGATACTAAATTCAGACATAGCGGGATAGAGGCAGCTCCTATTCGTGCTGTCGAAGGCGGCTCTAAAATCGACGAAAAGTTGGTGGTGGTCGATCCTCTTTTCACGGGTCTTTTCCAAGATTTGGCTCATGGTGAATATCTAGTCTGAAGCTAGACTAATAACGGGAGCAGACTGTTGTAGGACACAAATAGGTGATGTAGCCACTGACGCCTAGAGTATATTGATATTATGGGGGGAACAATTTTCCAACCTGCTGAAGAGTAGTGAAAATTGAGAACCGGGAGATGGTGAACCCGAAACAACACTCGATGACGATGGAAAAGACGCTCCATTACCAGACCATGAAGAATTTGGAATAGAAATCACCCGCTTAAAAAACCACAAAGGGGCGGGAGGTGACGGCCTACCAGCAGAACTATTCAAACATATCGTTGAAGAGCTGTCAAGGTGCATGCATCAGCTACTTTGCAGAATATGGTCGGACGAAAGCATGCCCGACAATTGGAATGTTAGTGTGCTCTGGCCAATCCATAAAAAAGGTGATCCCACAGTCTGCACCAATTACCGTGGGATAAGCTCCTTGGTATCGCCTATAAGGTCCTGTCGAGCGTTTTGTGTGAAAGACTGAAGCCCACCGTTAACAAACTAATTGAACCTTATCAGTATAGCTCCAGACCTGGCTAGTGAACCATTGACCAGATATCGTCCATGCGCCAAATCTTGGAAAAGACCCGTGAAAAGAAGATCG